AGGTCTCTCCTGATCTCGCTCCAGAACTCCTCCGTCCTGGTTCGACTTCCAGCAGCTTCCGGGTGGCCACCAATCTCTTCATATTCTCGCCCAGGAAGATCTCCCTCAGGAGCGTCACCGGCACCTCCCCGAGCGTCCATCTTCTTCTCCACCTTTCGGGAACTCCCGGTGTCCGGGACCTTGGGCAGACCCTCAGGTCTCATCGCGTTCAGCTCGGCCTCTCCCACCGCCCGCGAGCTCCAGAAAGGGTTTACGCTCACCCTTTGCCGCCGTTCACCTCCAGCGTGTGGTGGCCCTTCTTCTTCGCGAGGCTCCGGAAGCTCACCCTCCGGCTCGGCCACCATGATGCCCCTGGCGGCATCCACGCTCATCGCCCGTCTCCGCCTCATTCCAGCGTCCATGACCGCGCCGAGAGGCTTAAGAGCGATTTGGGCTCATAACCCTTGTCCGGGCTGGCAGTCTTTTTCCTTCACTGCCTTGATCAAAAGGGGCTTCATGCATACCCCAACTAACGGGATTGGAAAAGTGCGGGATGATAATCAAGCACTTTTCACTTCTTGAGCGAGCACACCAGTTGAAGTTGAACAATCCGAGAAACATGAAACTTGAAAACCTGGTGAGAAGCCAAACTTGACAACCTGGTCAGATACCTACATGTTGTATCTCACATAGGTCCCCCAGTAGTGCCCTTTTACCCTTTCTTGGGGGAGGGTTCCCCTACTAAAATCGACTACGGACAAAAGGGTACCCTTTTTCTAGCCTCTCTACTGGAGGACCTAGTCATTTGCTCTTCTTTTTGTTAACATAGGTCCTCCCAGCCCTGCAGACCATGAGCATTGGCTCACTGGACCTCCCTTTGAACCTCTTGGTTCTTCCCCTCCAGTTGCAGCTTGTGTCGGTCTGAGGCAGACCAGCGGGGTTCTTTTTTGCGGGTTGCTGCACGAACCAACCTCGATGAAACACACTGCGGCTTGGTCTCTAATTGAAGAGGGGACTCCTCCAGAAGGAAGGTGTTCCTTCGGTTTCTCTTTGAGCATTTTTGAATGGTGTACCCTCAAAAATCCAGACAAGAACATACACGCTCATAGACCATACAAACACACACAACAAACAAAAACTCGCCGCCGCCGGCGAGATGAGGCGGCTGGGGTGCTGTACACCCTGCACCAGGCCTTTTGCTCCGCGCCGAGCGCACCCTCCGCGCGGCAGCTGCGCGTGGCAATGCGCGGAGGCTGGACAGAGGGCCAGGGACCGGAGCCACCCAACCTCCCCTTCCACACCTTCCGACACTTCACTAGGCCCCCCAGCGAAAGGGTGCCAACTTTTGCCGGTTCTTTTTTGGGGGAGGGTTTTTCCCAAAATAGACGGCAGATAACAGTTGGTACCCTTGTTCTAACCTCTCAAATCTGGAGGACCTGGTTTAATCCCGAGGATGTCTCTGTGGTTCTCGGTCAGCGCTTCAGCTTTGGGGCCCCAAGCCGGGGCTGCAAGGCGTCTAAGACTTGCGAGGGACTCTTTGGGGGGCTTGGAGACAGTCAAGAATTGGAAGCTTCTCAAGTACTTCTGGTGTCTCATGACCATACCTAGCCCTTTGCGGGCCTTGTTGCTTGAAACTGTGTGGATTTTCCGAATTGGACCCACAAACAGTTTATAACCTTGAAATTGGCCAACGGGCCATCGAGTGTCCTTGCTCTTAACATGTTGTTTCCATTGGAGGACTCTATACCCAAAGTATTTTGGAACTGAGACCCCTTTTGTTCCTGGCTGTCTGGTATGGCCACGTCATGGCAACCCCGTTGCGATGTTTGTTTCACCTTCAGCAACTGGATTTTCCGTGGGCCGACAAATCAAATCCAGAAATGATGCTCACTCCCTGAGTTGCTGGTGTTTCTTAGTCACTCTTGGGCAGGGTTGTGGGATCAAGGGGTTTCTCCCCACTTCTGTGATACAAGGGAATCCCCCTTTATATGAACAGAATAGTCTTTGGGAAGCCCTTTCTGTTGTATCACAGAAGTGGTCATTCCCCACAGCCCTGCTGTTGGGGTTTAGTTGCCATTTCAGTGGCAACCAGCCTTTCAGGTTGGGAACACGAGCTACACTTTTTCCTCCACTGGGTGTTGATCCGTATTCCCTTCGGCCCGAAGTCACCATGGGTTGCTTGTCCCATGGAAAGTCGGATCGGTTTGGTTGCTTTCCAACAAATGGCGATCCCATGTGCATCGGACCTTTTGATCAACCCCCAACTCACACTTGGGCGTTCAACCTACATCATGGTAACTAGGTTGTAGCCATGCTTGTAGCTGGGTGATCGTCTCCGAACCATGAGCCACTTACCAAGTAATTAGCTTGAACACCCGTGCAACGAGGTCCAGACTTGCCCCAGACTTCAACCCAGGGCTTCTCCTTGGGGGACATGAACCACCCGGTTGAAGCCTACCTTGGGGAAGATCCAAACGTGGCTTCGCCCGAGGTCCGTTTTCGCCCGTTTCGTTTCGTTCGTTTCGTAGGCGGCGAGAGCGTGCCCACGGGCCTGGTGTGGCCGTCCCCGGAGGCTGAGGAGAAGCTGCGAGAGGCGCTGGTCTTCGGGAGGGCGAGGCTTTTTGGTGAGAACACGGTGGTCGCGAACCTACTCACTTCCTGAGTTCCGACCAATTAGTCACGGTTCTTCCCCATTTTTTGTTTTTTATTTTTAATGGGGTCCCTTGGTTTTCCACTAACCAGGCAAACACACATATATATATATATATATTGATGGGGTTCTAATTCCAGCCAAGTTTTTAGGGTTTAATTTTGCCATTTTAGTTTTGCAAACTTCACAAGTTTAGACTTGTTTGGACATCAGGAAGTGAGCCGAAGAAACCGGGGTCAATACCATGAAATTTGTTGGCTGCAGGGGATTCGAATCATTCCAGGTTTTCTTTGGTGCGAAACGGGTTTTGTTCATCCACAGTCTGTCACATTCTAGGGTAGACTTATATGGGGATGCCGCAAAAAGGATGTATATACCCTCAAACTTTGTGGTTCCCCCCCTTGGAATTGGCTGTCTTGGCATGTAGATTTGGGGCGTGCCCACCGAAGTTAATCAATCAATGCGGCGTATTTTTGTCTCGGCGTTCCCTCAAGTGGACTTGCTGCTTGGATGTTCGACTCGCCAAGTAAGTAGCCACCTGGGTCATAACCAACAGGGTCAACTCCAAGGAACCCGCAACCTATGAGAGGGTTGTAACCCAGGCTACCAACTACTTACCAAGTTAGCCGAACACTCAAGTGGTGCTCAGTAGGGAATGTCGAAAGGAACCCAGGGATTCCCTTAAAGGAACACTGCTAATTTGCCCGCCACATGAACTGTTGAATGAAAATGGCTTGTTTCCTCCAGAAAATCCTGAGTCCCCTGATTGGTTGCAGTTCTAAAACCCTGGGCGTAGGTCCGCCTGCCATTGGTTCCCTGGCACGTCGATTTCCCCGGGGAAAAGGGGGAACTCTCTTTTTTGGGCGGTTGATTAAAAAGAAAAGCCCTCCAAACAAGTTGACAAACAAAGTCACCACTGCAACAACTGGATGTGGAGTCGACACCAAAAAGCAAGGAATCCTACTGGTGTAACGGGGCTTTGCTTTGGTTGCCCTTTGAAGCCTCCAAATTGTGTACCCCTTTGGGTTGGCAAAAGAAGGGAGACCAAAAGGATACTAGCCTATTTTGAGAAACCCCTTTGGGGGGGAAATATCTTTGAGGGAAGTCTTCCTGCTGGTGCAATAGGCAGGGAATGCGAAATGGAATGACCCTTATAAATCACGGGTAAAAGCCAGGAAAACTGCGAGACAAACACGGACACCACAGGAGAATCCGTGAAACCATGCTGTACATGTTTGTTTTTGACCATGGCTCCTATTTGGGGAAACAGTGGTGATGTGGTTTGGGTACCATTTCGCCCGTGTCCCAGCCGGGATTCCCGCTTGCATTCACCACTGCTTCAAACCTTGAGACCAAACCAGAACGCTAGAGTCACGATCAAAATCAACCTAAATGAAGGTTAGCAAGGGGCAATCCCTGCCATCAACGGTTGCGGCCGCCTTTTCAATTCCTTACATGGTTCTGGGTTCACCATTTTTGGTACCAGGCTGTGATTGTGACTCAGGTTGGCAAGAAGGACCCTGGTGTTTGAAGCTCCCGGAAAAGCTGATTGAAGCTATGGGCACCTATTTGCTTTCCTTTGGTCGCTCCTGGTTTCCCTTGATCATGAGTGCTCAAGCCACTTCGTGACTACACTCGAGTGGCCCTGTGCCGGAGTCATGCGACGCAAGCTTTAAGTCATTTTTGGGGAAGACACATTCGGGGGGGGGGCAGAACAACAGGTGTGGACTTGTTGGGCCCATCCACTCAGGAAGTGAGACAGCCTTCTGTTTCCCTTCTTCCAGAGCAAAACTAATCGAGCCTTGTGCTTCTTGCTTGTCGGCTTCAGTGACACAAATCTCATTTGCTTTCACTCTGAAGTAACCTGCCCAAACTCCCGGGCAAAACCCATCAGCTGGGTATCAACGAAAAGACCCCGTCTTACCCCTTTCCCCAAGCCGCAAACTCGCTCCCGGAGCTCCTGGACTTTTAACTTCGCTGTTCTGGGCATGTTTTTTTCTGGGGGTCCGCAAAAAGCAAAGTTTTTCGCTACCATACCAAGAGTAGAGATGTTGACTTTTTGGGTTTGGACCATCGGCTGTTCAGAGGCAATCGTTAATCCTCACCTTCGGTTACGAAAGGATTTGGTCCTTTTTGTAGTGGCTTCCCTACAAGGATGATGAAAAATCGGATGTGCCGACCCAGAAGGACCATCTTGTTTAACCACTTTCTGTTTTTGTTTGCCCAATCGGAAGTAAGCGGAAACAGGTACCAACTCCAACGGTAGCCGGCCCAAACCATTCTGAACAGCCCAGAAGCCGACTGTTTGAAGCTCGGGTTTGGCCAGGTGGACGGCATCAAGCTGTACCCCACCCACGCGTGGAAGGACGACATGGAGCCCATCCTCGATTCCAAGAAGAAGCTCGAGGTCTCCAGGGCCTGGAGTCCAGGGTGTGGGGGGTTTGGAGGTAGGGGACTTGAGTGGTACATGGTTGGGAAAAAAAGAAGGGGTGAGCCAACATGGCCAAAAAAAGAAGAAGGGGGGCTCTCCCCGGGTCAATTCCTTTCCCACGGGGCCGATCGTTTCGGGCTAAAAACATGGTTGTTGTTGGGAGACATCTCTTACATTTTTGCTTATGGCGGTTTAGTGGTTGAAATCCAACCACTTAACTGCTAAAAACAATTCTTTGACTCCCCTTCCAACGTCAACCCAGGGTAGGGATGTTCGGGTTTTGGGGTTGGGTTTTAGTGGCTTAGGGAGGTGAAAGTTTGAAGGTGCATTGCTTTCGGTCGGTTTCAAAGGAAGCAACAAGGAACCAACACGATTTTTTTGGGGTTCCCCTGATTTGCAATGACAGCAAGTAAAGCCCCTGATTACTATCTTATCTATGACTAGGGTGGCCATTTAGCGAGTCTGATTTCAGGCCATTTAGGCAAGGACAGACCTCCGGACATGCCCTGTTTTGCTTCTTTGGAGCAGGTGTCCTTTTGAAATAGCGTCACTTCACTTTTCCTGGCATGTGTTTTAGTGCTTTATTTTGTTTGGTTATGCGATCATATTTGGCTGGCGGCTTCAAAGGATTGTAGCGGGTTATGTTTCATGTTGTTGTTCTTGGTGGTGTTTTTGCTGACATGTCAATTGGACATGTCAAGTATCAAGTCCCATTAGACAGACCTTGGCAAATTGACACCCCATGGAAAGGTCCACACGTCGTGCTTCAGTTTGCAATGCATTGTCCCGCCCAATTTCATGGAAGTGGATTTATGTTGCAATCTTTGGGTTTGAGGCTGCGAAAGCCAAGGCGTCTTGCTGACACGACTCACTAAAAGTGTAGCCACTTCAGCCGATTCCTGTGTTTAGTATGTTTCGCGGACAAAGCAAATTTTGATAACCGTCTCACTAGAAGCGCAGCACAACAATGTTAGCGATTGAACACCAGACTTCTTGGGGGTTGGACCATGTGGGCGGCAAACAAGTTTGGGTTTGCTCCTAGGTCCCCCAGTTGTGCCCTTTACCCTTGTTTGGGGGAGGGTTCCCCTACAAAAATAGACTACAGAAAAAAAAAGCAAAAAGTTGGTACCCTTATTCTAACCTCTCTACTGGAGGACCTAGGCTTTTTGGGCCAGTCCACTCGATCGGTTTCCGAGCGAAACGCCAACTCAACCCAAGAGGACACGCCGGTGATCGTCGGCGTGGCGGCGGACTCTGGATGCGGCAAGCGGAAGCCTCAGTCACGGGCCATGGTCTTGCATGGAGGCAATGTCTCGGACCATGAGAATCAGCATGAATCAACTTCACTGTGCTTGGATCAAGTCGTGATGTTTTGTTGTTTCGTTTTTTGTTTTTTTCTCCCCCGCTTTGTTTTGTTTGTCAAGTCGTTCTTTTTGTTTCCGATTGTTTTTCGTATTGTTTGGGTTCTGTTAGTTTTCAAGTTTGGCGGCTGCTAACAAAGAAAAAACAACTCCGGTTTTGTGCAGGCACACCGTTTGGGGGAGTTTTTGGGCCCCAAAGCAACTCAACATGGATTTGCGGAGGTTTACCCAGTGACCAGTCCCTTCAAAATGATGAGGCTGCACCTCCGGTGCTTCAAATCAGGAAAGAACCTACTCGATCCTTCATGGAAAAACCTCGTTGCTTTGCTTTTGTTCCCCCGGACACCCAACAGCTGCATTAGAAAAAAATCCGTCGGTGTTGCGCAAGCATAGCGTGTTTTCATGTTTTTGTCTTTTTCTTTTCTCAAAAACAAATGTTTGTTTTGTTTTCTCCTTTTTTCATGTTTTCTTCTCGGAGTTTTTGGGCTGCCAAAAAAAAGGCGTTCCGCGCCATCTGGCCCTAGGGTCCCTCAGGTCCACCTTCTTGCGCCGCATCCTGGGCGCTCTTGGCACCGAGGTCGAGCCCGGGCCACTCGTACGAGAGAAGTGGAACCGGCCAATGGCATACCCATGGAAAGCTTTACTCTTCTTGGACCAAATTGTTTTTTGCTTTTGATTTGTTGGTTCTGTTCATGGATCAAACTGTGTGTTTCTGGGTTTTGTTTTTTTGGCTCTGTTCGTTGTTGGTAGGGCTGCATGAAATCGTCACTTTTTGTGCAACCATACCAAGGGTTGTGAAGATGGCATGCCCATGGAGATACCAACCAAAACGCGTGTTTGTTCCAGGGTTGATCCTTGTCCATTCTGTGCAAGCATCGTTCTTTTCAAAAACCCGTCGTTTTCACTGGACTTCTGGGGGGTTTTCTCAAAGTGGGATACCTGGAAAGAATGGGACAGATACCCCTTTGAATGACACAAGAGTGTCTCTTCAACGTGATAGATGGGTTTCGCTTCATGAACCATGCCTTTTTTTGAAGCTAATGGGGAGTTAGTGAGTTGTTGGGAAACAAACAAAGCCCCCCTCTCCCCAAGTGCGGTTCTCCTTGTTAGGGGTCATAGTTCGGGTGGCTACCCACTTGCTGACTTGGCCGAACATTTTAGCAAGCAGGTCATATCCATAGTCAATAACAAGGCGACCCCGGCACCCCCTACTGGACGGGTTATTAATCCGGGGTCAACATTACTTGGTAACATGGGGTGTCGCCAAACACGAATCAAAAGCAAGGCTTTTCCCCATTTGGGGAAACCCTCAGATAAGGAACCCGAACTTCTGCCTCAAAGCTTTGCCAGTCTTGTGGTGACCGGATCACAGCCAGCCTTTTTTTGTTCCCCGTTGAATCCACATTCTATCGGTCCGTTTGGCCAGGGGCTTGGAGCAACCAAGGTAAGGTTATATGCATGGTTAGTGGGGTAACTCTGGGGCGATCACCTGATAGCCATGGTCACAACCTAGTATCCAAGAAGTTCCTATGACACCCGGGGATTACGCCCTCAGAACAAACGCTTTTTTTCAGCCCAGATAAGCCTGGTCATGTTGGTTTATCGGGGACTATTTGGGGCAATTTGCCTAGGGTGTAATTCTAAAATTTAGTGAAACAAATCCTTAGACCGAAAGTGGCCTGAAGACTCCAAGCACGCCTTTGGTCAGTCGGGGAGAGTCCCTGGGCCTTGTGTCAGATTAGTTCGGTGGAATTTGGAGATCGGAGTGATGTAGGCGGAAGGTTCAGGCACCCTGTCCAGTTGCTCATGTACGCGAACTCATTAGAATGGGGTTGTGACATTGTGGGGTACCTACCAAAGTTAGTCATGATGATAGCTCCGTTGCCCAGTGGAGTGGTGCCCTTTTCTTCTTTTTTTTGGGGGGAAGGGTCCCCTTGAAACTCAACCAACAAAAAAGGGTGCCCTTTTTCCCCATGGCCACTGGGCATTTGAGATACTGCCCTTTACTCCTTGTTTGACCACCATGACCAACGGCGGACGGCACCCAATACTGACAGGGCCTTTCCCCATGTGTGTTCTGTTGTATTTGTGTTTTGGTGGTGGGAAGGGGCTGTCCTTTTGATATTGTCATTTGCCAAAACAGGGTCCCTATGTTCAATCTTTCTTCGTAATTATTGGAGGGAGACTCTCTCTAAATCAAGTACCAACCAAAAGGGCTCTTTTTTTAGCCATGGCCACTGGAGGTTCGAGTAGATATGGCGCCAAGGGACGCCGCAACTTGTTGCTCTTGGTAGGTGTATGTGTGTGTGTGTGTCATTTTTCGAGGGTACCCTTTTGTGGTGTGGTTTTGAAAGGAAACTAAATGGAGAATCACCACTTCGGGGTCCCTAAAAAACACTGACACAGCCGCCTTCGTGTGTGTGTGTGTGTGTTTTTGTTTTTTGTAGGGCCTCCCCCTCCTCCTCCCCTCCTACCCCCCCAAAGTGCGCTTCAAAGAGCGCGCCCGGATCTCAGGCACACGGCCATCGGCGACATGATGACGGTGATCTGCCTGGACGACTACCACACCAACGACCGCGCCGGACGCAAGGCGTGTTCTTGGGCTCTTGGGCGCGTTGCGGTGGGCAGACGACGAGTGGCGGAAACCGCGAAAGGGACATCCTGAGGTACAAGGGACATATTTGGTCCGAGCTACACATCCATTTGCTTAATAGATCATTTTGTATTTTCCCTTGCTGGTTTTCAAGAGAATCTATCACTACTGGAAATATTATATATTTTTCCAGGGGGCTTAAGCAAGTGGAAGTACATAGTGCAAGTGGCAAACAGGAAGGACCCCAGATGGTTTGCGAACATTTACCAAGGTGCGGTTGGATTTGGTACTTGCCAGATTTAATGCATGCCCTGTGTGGTGAATCCCCTCAATCCGTTTTTTTTGGGGGGATATTGGATGGTTTGACCGTGGTTCCTAAAGGGGGAAGCGGGGGCGAGGGCAGCCCGTCCACGTTAGACGAGGGAAAATGCTTGTAGCGGTTCGGGATTGGCAAAGGGATCGCCGGCCACCTGGTTCCGACCTTTTGGGAGGACGCGGGGGCCTAGTCTTAGTGAGCCCTTGTACATTTGTGGTGGGAAGTTTGGGGCAGGGCGCACGTTTTGGCAGCAAATGGGGAGGGGGATTTCTAAGAATTACAAGGCAAAGACCAGGGAAAGCCATTGTTTGACCCAAGAATACACTTAGATTCTCCCGAGCATTTCGTTTGCTTCGATTTCAAGGAGGAAATCTGTAGCTGACGCTTGCGATGAGTCACTCAGCGCCAAGCCGGGATCCGACCGACTCGATCGGAAGGCCACGGGGCTCACGGCGCTGGACGCCCGGGAGAACGACTTCGACCTGATGGGCGTTCAGATCGAGGCCCTCAAGAAGGGCGCCTCGACTTCTCAGATCGCGTCGGACGTGTCGGACGGCTCGGCGGTTTTGAGTCTCACTTGGATAAAAAGCGAGCTCTCAAGTTGTTGGTCCCTACCCCCAGGTAAGTAAAGGTTAGTTGGGTGGGCTAACTTAGTGAGTTGTTGGTGACCTGGGTTATAGCCCACTTGTGGTTCCCTAGGTGGAGTTAAGCCAGGGCAACTCGAATCGAGACATGCAGAATGACGGGTTGGTTCGTTCCATGCTAGAAAGTTCAAGGTACAGAAAGACCCAATTTTTGCAGAAGTCGTAACCAGGGTTGTGACCTACTTACCTGATGTAGGTTGAATATCCAAGTGTCTTCCGTGTTATCCATTGTGGGGTTCCAACCTTGTGTCATGAGCGGTCAACATTTACCAACCTCTACGGGGTGAAGGAGGTGACGTGGCTCACACGAGACCCAACATCTCACTCCCCGAGTTCTTGGACGTTACTTCTGGGGAAGACGATTTTAGTGGTAAATGAAAAGTTTGGACTTTTTTGGCCCATCCACTCAAGGCGGCCGCTCACTAAAATTCAATGCTACGTTTTGGGGGGACAATCAATCTTGACTGTGGCTCAAATCTGAGGTAAGGCGGTGTACAAGCCCATCTACAACCACGACACCGGCAACAAGGAGGGCCCAAATTGCACCGAACAGCGGGGTGTTTGTCTCTCAGCGGAATCGTCAGAGTGGGCCCGATGTTGATGGTCACAGTGGTACCAGTTTTGATGTGGTTGCCAACCAACCCCCAAGTTCTTGGAGCTTGTTGCAAAATTAGAGGGCCCGCCAAAACGGTTGGTTTCCTTTTGGTTTTCCTTTTGTTCCGGACAAGAACGAGGTCCCCCAAAACAGGCACCCATTTCCCAAATTAACCTTTGCACTTCAATACGACTTGTACTCTCCCACCCACCAAGAGGCAATCTGGAAGATCATTCTCCTCGGGTTCCATTCTAGCGCTGTTTTAGCTCTTTCTTTTTTGGGGGACTCGAGCTCGGCGCTGAAGTCCGTAAACAAGTGCAGATGAACCAAAAGACACTCAAAGAAACAACACTAAGCAAGATATGGCTGTGGCTCAAAATTCAAGAGCTAGGGTTACGCAGGTTTTAGTCTTTGGTTCCATGTACCAAGGGGGTCATTTTGGTACATCCATTTGAGCCACAGACATATCTATATATATATTATTTCTGTAAATGCATGGAGGCCCGCTCGCCGCACCCGCACACACACACACACACACAAACACCCATGCAAAGGCGGCAGGGTGCCTTGAGTGCATAGATGTCATACACACGATCAGTATTTGCCTATGTAAATGGATGAGTGGATCTACATACATTCAACATATTGCATAAGCATGTATACTGTGTAGAAAAAATGGCTCCTATATAATGTATATACATATCACATGTTTGCGTATGCGCATAGGAACACAAGCATACACGAATATGAAGACATATGTATCCGCGGCAAAGTGTAAGCACTCACACATAGCTATACATTTCCACCTGAACGTATTGATGTGTATGCGTATTGGTAGATATGTGTATGCCTGAACGTATTGATGTGTGTATGCGTATTGGTAGATATGTTTTTGCATGTGTTAACAAATTCATATGCATGTGTAAACACACATCCATGCATGTGTGTGTAGCTACACATACTCGAGTTTTTTCGATTCACATTCATGTGCACATGTCAGGGAATTACACGCGTGTGTGGTTTATATTTGTTGACTTGTTGGCACCTGGTTGCCGTCCGGTTTCCTCTGCAACCAAGCCAAACACCTAGACAACGGTTTGCATGTGGTTTTCGTGGACCCACCCTTGGATATGATATAAACTAGTACTAAACCAATGGGTGAAATTCACGTGAAAAGCGCAAATCCAAACGAGACAACATGTGGGTTTAATGGAAACTATCACTAAACCAACCAAAAACCAAGTAATCACCAAAGGAACCGGATGGCTGAGAACCACCAAGAACATAAATGCGTTTGCTAGAAAATCTCGACTGCTATTGGGCAACGAACCTTTAGACTTGAACTTTTGGGAAATGAAGGGGTTTTCCACTAAACCCCCCAAAAAGTTAAACTTTTTGCAGGGGGGTCAACAGCAACCAAGAAAAGGGCAGCCTCACAAGCCGTCCTTTGCGGTGAACTGAAGGACCGTGCTCGCAGGACCCTCCTGAGCTCATCGAGCCCAACAAGGTCATGGTCTTCGAGGGTCTTCACCCCATCTACGACGAGAAGGCAGGAAGCGGGCAAAAGGGCTGATGCAACCGTTTTTTTTTGTTTCTCCTTTTTTTTTTGGGGGGGGGCCGAATGTTGATTGTGGTTAGTGTTTGTTCATCATTGTTTGAATTCATTCAAGTTCATTCTGCTTGACCGATTTTTAGTGTGACAAGAGACCCGCATGTCGGCCACCCTATCTTGTGCGCGTGTGTATTGAAAAGATCTTAGGCGTCCCGGCTGCCCAGAAGAGTTACGTTTTGGGTAAGGGGCACCCGGCGTTTCAAGTCTGCCTCTCTATTGGTGCCTCTCTGAGTTCTTTGCTGACTTATGGGAGAATCTGCAGGCAAACAATGTTCTGTTTAAGTTACTATGAGAGAAACTACTGGACCGATGGCCACGCTTTTTTTCTGCTTTAAAAGCGGCAAACGCAGAAGCGAAAGGGCCTATATTCCAGTGGTTTTAGCTGGCTTTTAACCATTTATCACTGCAATCCTTGACCAAAAGGCAAGGATTGCTGTATTCAGCCGGAAGCCCCGTTCAATCCAGTGGAATGAATGTTACCAAGCAACGTGCAGAAAGGCAGTGGCGCACTCAGGCCCGAACTCAGCTGGACCTCGCCATTTACATCGACATCGTGCGCCTCGGATCTTTTTTGCTGCGGTTCCGAAGCGGGGAAGCCTTTGAGTCGAGTCGAGTCGAGAGACGGAGTTTCTCGACTTTTTCTTTTTGGGGAAGAGCGATTTAGCGGCAAGCATAAAGTTTGGTTCCTGTTTGTGGCTAATCCACGGGATGGGAGAGAAAGGTGAATCCTTCTTCGGACCCGCGTCAAGTTTTCACATGTAAGAACGCAGTCCAAGGCTGACCCCAAGGGGAGAATCGAGCGGAGGCCTGTATAAACATTGAGAATCGTCTTGGTACCAAGAGTATGCTCCGGTTTGGGGCACTCAATCAAACACTTTAGCTGGCGGCAGGTCTTGTCCCTTCTTCCACCCCTCTGTTTGAGTATAGCGAAATTCAGGGAACTCCACGCATTTGGGGCACGCAATGTTGACCCGGATGAATACCCAGTTTCTTAATAGGGGGTGCTTTTCCCTGGGTTTTCCTGGGGAATCAGACCACTTTTGGAGGGGCCCCCATCCCCACCGCCGATATGGAAACAAAAACTGGGGGTTGATACATCTGGGGTCAAGCCAGGCATCCAGGGCTCTAGCCACAGGATTCCTTCGAATCAGAAGCTGATCGTTTTACTGGTGGAGCTCCGAGGATTGGCGCAACACGTCTGGAGGTCTACGTGGAAACATGGTGTCATCTATAGGTAGGCCTCCAATATCAATGGGTAGACCTCTCTATTGTGACATCTGTAATTGGAGGCCTGTTGGTTGAATCATCTATAAGGCAAAACGGCTGATTCAGCCAAGAGCTGAGCCACGTCCTCAAAACCCCGGGTGGATGAAGGCTAAGGGATAGCCCCATAGCCGCCATTTCAACTCTTTACATGGTCGAGGGTAAATCACGTTCATGTCGTGTCTGAACTATGACTCGGGTGGGAAGTTATGTTATCGTCCATTTGCTTAAGAACATTGCTGTTTTTTCCCTGTTGGTTTTAAAGGGAATCTTGTCACTAGTACTAGACATGGCTTCTCATTTTTTCCAAGGGGACTCCACCGCAAATGGAGCAGCAAACCAATCCACCCAGGAAGTGAGAATACCAAAGGGTTGGACATACATTGTGTCATCAAAGTAAAATGAGTGACTAACAACAGGTGAGAGATTCTGTTGTCTAGGTCCCTAGTGCCCTTTTACCCCGTTTTTTGGGGGAGGGTTCCCCTACTAAAATAGACTACAGCAAAAAGGGTACCCTTATTCTAACCTCTCTACTGGAGGACTTCGTGTTGGTTCATCGGGGACTATTTGGGGTATTTCTTTCCAAGGGGACTCTACCGCAAATGGAGGTTATGGCTTGCCTCGTCTCTCAAAACGACTTCCCCCCGTTGGGCACCGAAGGAACGACGTGAAGTTCGCCTGGAAGGTGCAGCGCGACGTGGAGGAGCGTGGCTGGACCGAGGAGCAGGCGATCTGATCCGAAAAATTTAACGCCGCGTACAATGGAAGGTTATGGGTGTGCTCACCTCCTGAGTTTGTCAGATCCTGCCCTTTGAAGGGCTCCCAAGAGGAGGTTCTTTGACTCACTCGAGTTTCTGGACTTTAGTCACTTTTTGGGTTTGGTTGACTGCATCAGAGAGCCCTCAACGGGGGAGCTACCGGGCCTGAGAGGCGTGCGACAACCAAAAGCCATCAAACCTGCCTGGGAAAGCGATCCCCCGGAAAGCTATCGATGCCTGACTTGCCCACCGCATTCAGATAAGTAGGCAACCAGGGCAAGCCCATGATGTAAAACCTAAAGCTACGAAACCCGTGCAAATATCTGAAATAGGTCGAATTCCGAATGTCTATTGATTCTACCAGAACCCTCCAAGGTGGTTGTTGACTACACGAAGGATGCAAACGCTGCCAACCATGATCCAGTTTTTGTGTCGTGTTATGTCGCCCGAGATCGTGGTCGCCCGGTCTTGATGCATGGAGCCCGCGAGCCCCGAAGGGCTGGAGGGCTGGTAGACCACCCCGAAGCATCAAGAGAAATGCAATGAACCGGTTTGGGATTCCCGAATAAAGGAAGCCGAATCGGGAATGGTTTATAGGGTCATTCCATTGTACTTCTTCCCTGCCTATCGCACCAGCAAGAGCAACCAATAGAAGCTTGTAGGCTTGCAAGGCAGTATGCACGATTCAGTGACTAGGTCCCCCAGCTAGGTGCCCTTGTACTGTTTCTTTTTTGGGGGAGGGTTCCCGACTGCAGAAAAAAGTGGGTGCCCTTCCTAATTCCTTTCAGTTTGGGAGCTGTATTCAATGACTGGGGTAGACTTAGGATACATTTTGCATTTTACCAGTGACTCAAAGTGAAGCAAACAATAAAATATACATGCTATAACTGGGCCTAGCTCTAATCATGATCATGGCCTCTTTGAGAAGGTTTGCAGTGACTGTGAAGTTTGCCAAGCTATTGTAAACAAGCGCCATCAAGAGGTAGAACAAGTGAACTTCGATCAGATACATTTGGTGATACTCTCATTGAACCATCCACTTGGGACGCGAGTTGCGGAACTCCACGCCTCGGAGCCGTTGGGTTCGGATCTTGGGCACCGAAAGCCGCCGGAAGATGGGAAATGTTTCAGCCGTTCACCCGGATCGAGCCCGCTTCTGGAAGCACCCCGGCATCCGATCTTTGAAGATTCATCCAGCACTTGCCATTCTGATTCTTTGGCCAGATCGTTGGGCCTTAGCTTTTTGGTTGAAACAGTGGGATTTATTATTGACAAGCAAAAAACGGAGAATCACATAATAAAATATAACACGTTTTGCAGCGGGGCCGTCTCGCCCTTGCACCCAAGTTGCGATCATCTCGGCGCGCCATGCCGCGCCAGGTGCGCGAGGACATCGAGAAGCGCTTGCCGGACTTCTCCAAGTACGTGGACCCGCAGAAGGCGCGCTGGGCCGAAACGAATTTCTTTCTGCCGGCGGATATGCCTCACGCGATACTTGGGTGTGGGCTCAAAATAGAAGCAGTGGGGCCAACGGCAGGTGTTAGTCTTTGGTTCCATTTACCCAGGGGGAATGTCTGCCGGAGCTCAAACAATTCAATAGCTAGGGCCAAACGAAAGGGTTTTTTAGTCTTTGGTTCCATGTAAGGTGGGCATTTTGGAATTCATGTTTTGAGCCACAGCCATATACGTTTTGTTTGTTTTGGAAGAAGCTAGGTCTGACTTACCTCCGGGGCCGACGTTGGAAAGTGCTTGGTTGGCTAACGAGTTGAAGCCGGAAAAAGGTGTCAAAACTGGGGTCTCCTCCAAGCATATGTTGCCGGCATGTATGTAGGGTAGGCTAAAGAGCATCAGAACACACGTTTTTTTTTTGTTTAATCAGAATATTCCAGAGGTGGGCCAAGAGGTGCCCCAGTAGTGCCCTTTTACCCTTTTTAAGGAGGGTTGCCCTACTAAAATAGACCACAGAAAAAGTTGGTACCCTTATTCTAACCTTTTTACTGGAGGACCTAGCCAACATCTCCAGGAACGCGTTTTTTTTCTTCGGCTTTTCGACTTGTTTGGTCGAGGCCAACGCGGACGTGGTGCTGCGCAGGGGCCTCAGCTGAATCGGCTCTCGAAGGGCCTACGGCCAGCGCCGTGAAGTTCTTTGGTGTACTTTTGGCGCGGCAACCAACCAACCTTAAGTGAAGAAAAAAAGGTGGTTGGTTGGTTGGGGACTTTTTGGTTATCTTTTTGGGGGGGGCTTTTTGGGGGGGGACTGGCAACATTCCATGAAGATAAAAGCCCCCCCCCAAAAAAAAAGAAAGAGGAGGATCCCCAGTTGTTTGGGGCGTTTTCGCCACTGATGAGGCCTATGAATGGGAACCTCAGATGAATCAACCCCACTTTATTAGGGGGGTGTCCCCGTGGGAATCTTGCCTTTTAACAAACCGGGGTCTTCGTTCCAGAGTTCCTGGACTGCAAGCGGCAAAGACTACGGTCGATCGGTCGATTCATTTATTTTTGGAGTATGTTGAGACTCTCAACTAATTGATTTGTGGACCTTTTGAGGGTCGAATTTATGTTGCTTCATACTATGTCTTAACACACTGACAGACCGTATGGTGAGACCTTTGCTGACCAATCCTCTCGATCGGTCGTGAGGATTTGAATCCTCCGGGGTCCACGTTGACGGCCCAGCCATCGGACTCCATCTTTTTGGTCCCTTTACTTGGCTCCAAAGGTAGCGCCCCACGAAAAAACTCCGCCAGTTTCTTCCGAATGGTCCTTGGTCAGGGTTCCCCTGGTTGATTTTTTTTGTTCCAAGGGAATCTATATCACCACTAGGTCGCCCATGCCCTTTTACCATTTTTGGGGGAGGGGGTCCCTACTAAAATAGACTGCAGAAAAAAAGGGTACCCCTATTCTAACCTCCAGGACCTCGACTAAGGGAATCATGATGTGTTGTTTTTTTCCCGGGGGACTTCAGGAAATGGAGAGCCAAAGTGTTTACTTTGACATGACAGGGGCCTTAACAAAAAGCGTCTCAACAAACCGGAAATGACACAATAAGTAAAATGGGTGTATGTTTTGAGGTACCCTTTTTGCTCTGTTTTAAAAGGAGCCCCCATCCTCTGTGTGTCTTTTTTGGGCGGGGTACCTCAACAACAAGCAAACCCAAATACCTTTTTCGTTTCCTTGGAACTCAGCCACTGGGGGGGATGGCGAGCCATTTTGGGGTGGATGAACATCCATTTGCCACCTATTTTTCATTTTCACCAGGGGGTACAGGGTTTTGACCCACAGCCATTTGAGTAGGTTTCCTTTGGTTCCCTTTCAGGTTTCCGGAAGAAAGGATAGACATCTCTCACTGGCTGCCTTTGGTTTACCAGGGACCCAGAAGCAACGCTGAGTACTCTGGGACTCCATTCGAACCTCGGCTTGGGAGATGGACATTTGTGTCTTTTGGCGTAAACGCCAGCTTTTAACGGTTGGTACTAACTCAAAGGAAACACAGATCCACCCACAAATCAATGGGCGTGGCTTGAGGCTAGTCTCGGCCGACCCTGTGCCAATGTCCCCCTTGTTTTGAGATGAACACTGTTTTTTCTCCCTGTTTTGCGTAACAACTCTTTCCTTCTTGCCCTCTAGCGCTGGTTTCCCCCTCTGGTTTGCGTGAACAAGGCATTCCCCTTGTTGCCCTTTTGGGTTTCCTTGGTTTTCCCCAAGCAACAGGCCAACTTTTTTCAGCTTGGATCCCTCTCGCCATTTTCCACGTGTTGAATCCAAGGCTATGAGCCTTCGGACCAGGGCCTGCCCTACCTCAAGGCGCGAGTCTCTCTTGGCAAAGGGATGACCTCGACGCAAGAGGTGGTGGTTCCTTTCCCAGCGAATCCGAGGTGTTTCGCGCACACAAGCGCACACGCACACACGCACACACGCGCACACGTGCACACGCGCACACGCATGTCCTTTTAACAAAGGGTGGCGAGCCCTTCCGGACATGGCATCACCAAAGTTCTGCAGAAGGATGCTCCCTTTTCCAGGAGCGGGGGGCCTGCAGCCGAAGATACGCAATGCAGTTGGAGATATGTGGTTGTTCAGCTGATTCGTGCTTTGATAAACATTTCTGCCCAAGGTTGAACCCGTCCCTTTGGCGGGAGCGATCAAGTGAATAATCTCGAATGACCACTTCGCAAGGGCAGAACAACGGCCTTGGGAGCTCTTTCATTCTTTTTGGAAGAGCCGCTAGAAACCTTCAAAATTTGACCCAGCGCCCTCCGGAATTTGCAGAACCCTCCCTGAAAGCTGCCCCAAACCCCCCCAGAGCCAGACCCCGTGGCCCATAGCTTTTCGCTGTTGGAGGAAGGATCTTTGGAACAGGGTTGTGGTTGATCACTCGGGGTCGATCCAACCACTTCTGTGATACAAGGGAATCTCCCCTTACATGGGGGGTTAGTCTTTGGGAGGCTCTTGTTGTATCACAGAAGTGGATTCCATTTCCCACAGCCCTGCTTTGGAACATCCCCCAGTAGTGCCCTTTTACCCTTTCTTGGGGGAGCGTTCCCCTACTAAAATAGACGTCCTGAAAAAAGTCGGGTACCCTTATTCGAACCTCTCTACTGGAGGACCTAGAAAGGAACTTTGGAACAACCTGCTCGGCCTCGGCAGGTGAAGCTGATCCAGAAGAAGGACGGACCTTTCGGGAAAGGCGACAGGTGAAGCTTTGGTCGAAAGCTCCTCATCCCCCAGGCCCCAATCGGCCCTAAGCGAATCGACCTTTTGACCTTTTCTTTGGGGCTGCTTGAATCTTGGACTTTGGCTTTTTGGAAACAGAGGATTTTCCATTGAACCCACAAAAACATAACACTTTTGCAAGTTAGCCCGGTTTGCAACAGCAACCAAGTTGTGTTTCTCTTTTTGGCAACCATGTTCGTCACGGCCCCAAAGGGTGATCACCTGAAAATTTATGCACCTTAGCTTTGTGTTCCCATCCTCCAAGAGACCTCTCCCGAACATCAAGGTGGCCCAGCCCTGTGCCAAAGGTCTCATCTTTAGGACTCGCACAGAAGTTGCCGATATGGCTGACAAGGGTGCGGCAAGTTTGGGGCACTTTGGCACCAAAATTTGACCAAGAAACAACGAACAACTTCCCCTATAAATGACATGCTGAAGACCCCAGTTGCCTTTTGCCTTATATTTTTATTTCGAGGTGGTCCAATGAAACATGAAACGGCTCGTCGGAGTTTCAACACCACCTTTTTGTTGGTTCGCTTTCAACGGAATTCCCTTGCCAGCAAACTGACTTCCTGAGTTCCGTTGGACTTTAGTCGCTTTTTGGGTTTGGACCGTGTTGGTAAACAAAATTGTTTGGTGACCCTTGGGCTCATAGGTGTCCTTTTTGGTTGTTTTGGTAGACAAATGGAAGGCAATTCCTGGTTTACCTGGTGGTCTAATCATCTACCAGGGCCATCTATTTCCCCTAAAAGGACACCTATGCTTGGGCTAATCCACTCACCCCTTGGAGACTTCGGGGCCCTCAAGGCACACTGCCTTGCTGTCGCTGACTCGCCTTCCAGCTGACCCGGCCCAAAAAATCGTAAGCCGATGCTTTTGCGGAAAGTCAAAGCCATAGAACGACTCCTGGGAATCAGAGAAGAATGACATTGTTTGTTTTTTTTTCCCTGAGAAAACACATCATTCTTGGGTGTCTTAAGAATTAATCCCGAGGTACTTGCTCATTCAAAGGCTCTGGCTGACACCAGATCATCCACTTGGGACTGGTGGCTTCCTCCCATTGAACAAAGATCGGGTGTTGGGGGCCGAGATGGTTTTCTCCGCTCGGTTTCGTGAGGGCGGGAACTTCCCCATGGTGACGTTGAAGAAGGACTTGGAGCTTAAGGGCAGCAAGCAGCGGCCTCAACGCGACGAGTGGCTTGGGGCGTTCCCTCTTTCCGATGGAAGTGGATGTTAGGGGGTTCCCCAAACGGAAAACATCGTCTTCCCAAACCCTTCGTGATGTTGCCTTCTTTCCACAAGGAACATTTAACCTCATCTTCCAAAAGCAGATCGTCAGCTGCTATGATAGGGAGCGTAAAGTGAATCTCTCGCCTGCCATAGCTGCCATGGTGTTCGACTTCATGCTGGAGGTTGTTTTTTACTCCGACCCCCTGAGCATCTTTGGACCTCGAACAGTTGTCTGTTTCCGGTCCAAACCTTGCAATGGAGACCTGTTCCCCATCCAATGAAGGTCCAATGATGCTTAGGGCGAGTCACTTATTTCAGATTGGCCGGAAAACCAAGGAGTGGAGGGAAAGAACTTGACCCTGGAGCGTTGTTTTTGGATTTGCGCATGAAATCCCCCTCTTTTCCGTGCAGAAGCACCAACTCCCTGCGCATGGTGCGCCCCCTCAGCACCTTCAGACAGGACGTCGTCCTCTCGTTCTGTGAAGGCCAATTCCAACGGGTGCCTCCACATGCAGGGATGCTTGCCTCTCGATGGAGATCCGGCGCCAGCAGACTGTTGGGTAGTACAAGCGATCGGAACCTGTTGAATGGAACCTGTTCAACGGGTTCCCTGTCCTATGATTGTCGAACATGGCAGTGTTGTGTGGCGGTGTGGTGGAGTGTGGTTGGTCCACTTGCGATTTACAGCATCAACCATACCAAGATCATGTTCCGTCCGGGGACTTGTCTAGGTCCCCCTGGGTGCCTTTTACCGTTTCCTTTTTGGGGGAGGGTTCCCCTACTAAAATAGACGTCACGAAAAAGTGGGTTCCCTTGTTCTTACCTTTCTACTGGAGGACCTAGTTGCCGCGCCGGGTTGGGACGCATCGACCACGGCGCTCGAGGCCGGGCGCCACTCTGAAGATGTACGACGACGACTGGCGGGGATCGAATCGACAGAGTCGCGAGTCCCGAGTCCCACCTTTTTGGTTGTTGCAATCGACAGAACCTTCTGCGCACCAGCTAGATCAATTTCCCGAGATGTCCGGTAGAGGTATCAACGTTCTATCTATAGGTGCATTATTTTTTCAGACACTGAAGGGTTTTGTTGCTCTTGAGGGTTGCTTTCACGGACTTCCGGATGCCCACGGAACGAGTTGACTTGATTCTTCATGACACTCGCAAGCATTCCTGGACCCATGGACCCCTTGTTTGCCTGTGAGAGATCTCTGGATTTCCCACGCCGATACCAGGTTGGTAAAGGTGGCTGTCCTTTGGGTTTCACTTTTAACCAACCCAGAAAGAGTATAGTACCCTCAAAAACACACACACACACACACCCCTTTTCGTCTTCACGGGTGGATTGGGAATGCCATCTGAAGTGTCACATCCAGCCGAATCCAGCCCCTCTCCACCGGAGGGGCCTTTCCAATGCTGGGGGTCGACTCGCAAGGTGAGCCTCCTCGTACAGGGGCGGAGCCGCTGGAGGTCCAGTTTCCAGTAGCTTACCTCTTAAAAACACAACTTTTCAACTTTTTGCGTAACATGGGCTATATGTCTGTAAAAGATTAACTTCCCCAGGGCTTGGAGTTTTAAGGGGTAAGGTAGGGAGAAGCAGAAAGTTCAGAAATGATCTTGTGATAATGACAGGATACCAGGTCCCCCAGTAGTGCCCTTTTACCGTTTCTTTTTTGGGGGAGGATTCCGCTACTAAAATAGACTACAGAAAAAAGTTGGTACCCTTATTCTAACCTCTTTACTGGAGGATGTAGTATAGTTTTTTAGTACAGCCCTTATGTTGGTAGTCCCTGGAAGTTTCCTCTTGGAGGGGCTATTTCCCTGTCAGGCGACCGGTGCATTGACAATGTGCGAGAGAAGGTAGTTGTATGTTCAATCAACACTGTTCGCCCGAGTCTCTGGACTTTACATTTTGTTGGAAGCCCCTTTTTATTTAGTGACCTGAGCGTGGGCCTTTAAAGGAAACCAGTGAAAAGGTTGTCACCTTGATCACCTTCCCTCTAGTCGGTGGTTTGGATTGGTGGTTTGGTTGTTAAGGAGAGGTTTCCCATTCACCCTCTACAAGAAAAGTTAAAATGGCCATGGGTCAAAATCCCGTACCCTAGTGAACATCCCAATCCCCACTAAAATAGGTTCTAACATGCGTGGTGAATTCACCTACCAACCAAAATGGGATCCCATTGGTTTTGACCCACAGCCAAATGTTTCAGCTCTTGTATCCTTCCTTCCATTCGATGAGTTCGATTCTTCAGGTCGCGTCGCATCGTCGCATCGTGTCGCAGGTTCGGCAACGCGGTGACGGTGGTGGAGATGGACGGGGAGATCGACATGGAGAACATGGAGGAACAGCTCAAGGAGCCGAAATGAGCTAAGTCATTTCATGTACCCGGCTACTTATCTAGGTCCCCCAGTAGTGCTTGTTTACCCTGTTCCCCTACTAAAATAGACGTACAGAAAAAAGTTGGTACCCTTATTCCAACCTGAGGACCTAGTTATGGTGCAGCTGGTGCGACGATGTTTGGCTGAAATCTTGCATTTCTCGGAAGGATCATTGTACATCCTGGGTTTAGAGTTGAACCAACCGGGCAAAAGCGTGGTTGGTGTAAGGTGTTGATTTACTACATTCCCTGGTCTTAGTGTGACCACATCGACCCAAAAGGTCCTGTTGGAAAGAAGTTGCATTTTTTTCCATGAAACCCGCCCCCCCGACCAAATCCAAACAAACAAGTGTGTTTTTTGTTCAACAGAATGTTTTTTTTTTCCCATGAACCCCCCCCAAACACGGTGTTGGACCGATTTCTCGGTTGGAAGCGCCTGAAGCGTGCGTTTTCCTCTTCAAGCCGGCGCTTGAGGAGATCGAGTCCAACATGGAGGGTCTTGGCGCCAAGAAGGACGGCGAGTTCACTGAGGCTCCGATTTGTTTTGGGCCAACTTCGGCCAGGTGTCCACAACATTGGTCTTTTCAGCCTGAGCGTCTAAACTTGACTGCTATTGGGTTGGATCTTTAGACTTTAACTTTTTGGGAAATCAAGGGGTTTTCCACTAAACCCCCAAAAAAAGTTAAGTTTTTTGCAGGGGGGTCAACAGCAACCAAGTAAATGGGTGACCAGAAACCTAGTTTTCACTGCTCTTGGATCAAGGTTTGTTGTTGTTCTTTTGGTTCTGTTCATTTTTAGTAGGGTTTGCAAAAAGACAAAGTTTGTTTGCAATACCAAGGGTTGTGAAGCTAGTTGCTCTGATTTGTTATTTTCAACGTTTATCCTGTGACCCACCAAGAAGAGCCACACTCGAACCAAATCGCCGCAAACCCACCCGAAACCCGCCTGACGCCTCAAGTGACCCCACTCCGACCCCAACGCTTCTTCAGGCAAGCCGTCGTCTTGGGAAACTGGGAGAGGGAGGCTAGGTCCTTTTGCCCTTGGGGGAGGGTTCCCCTGGACGACAGCCAAAAAGTTGGTAGCCTTATTCTAACCTCTCAAATTTGGAGCACCTAGGTGGGATGGTCGACGGCGGCTTGATGCGCGAAATTTGGACTGTGGCCTCCACAATCGGGCGCTTGGCGCAGCTCCTTGTGATAGGGCGGGGTGCTTCCAGTGACAATGGTCCCCATGTCCCCAGACCTCGGCGGTGTCCTTTGTTGAAGGGCGCTTTCCCTTGCAAAAGTCAACTACCGAGTCCACGATCATGGGTTACGAACAGGAAAAACCACAGGTCAAGCCTGGTCAACTCATAGGGTTCTTTCCCATCCGAGCAACCCGCAGCTCTTCAGTCGCTTTACTGTGCTACATGTCCCATATGGGTGTGGCTCAAAATCAAACAGAAAAAAGCTTCGCAGGTTTTGGTCCGTGTTTTCCCTCTTGCCAGGGTTTCCCATTTCGGGTGCCGTCTTCTTGAGCCATACCCCAAGGGAAACCCCCAGGGGCCCGGCAGTCGATCGCGGAGGTGTTTTTCTTCATTTCTCCAGACCTGGTGACCCGTCAGGCCATGGTGTCCCTGAAGAGCAGCCCCGGGTCCCAGAACGGCACCGGCATGCTGCAGACCGTGATCGCCATGAAGGCTAAGAGAAAAATGTCCGGGAGCATCCGTCCATGTCCCTTGGGGCGGAATCTGGAGCTGCCTCAACAATATTTGTGTTTTTTTCTGTTTTCTATGTTTTAACGTTAGTGCAGACTAAATCCAAAACACGTTTGGAGCGACATGGTGAACTTGCCGAATTGCTCACAAACAGGAGGGGGCTCACCACGCCACTAGACTTTCAGTGTTCTCTTGGGGCAAGACATTGTGCCCCATTTTGGGCCTGGTGCCGCCTTGCGTCCCCTTCTGAGCAAAATCCTTTGTTGCAGATCCTCTCTTAGCGGGTGTCCTCTCTTTGGGTCCTCTCCTTTTGGGATCATTTTAATGCGATGGAAAAAAAGCCTTTGCAGGGCCGTTTCAATCACACCCATTTGAAGGCGCAAAGAGTGTCCTATCCGACACTCGCGCACTCGCCCAGTTTGCTGCGGCTGTCGGGCTTTGCCATGTGCCGTTGTTTTTGGACCTCTGACACAACAACAATATATTATTATATATATATATATATATATACACACATGCACATGCACATATGCAAGTCTATACATATATTCATACATATATTTATATATAGATGTATGTGTATATGCATGTATATATGTAATGGTACCCGCCCTCCAACACCGACATCTTTCTCACTTCACGGCCATTTTGGGGACCATACACAAAACAAACACAAAAAGACACCATCCCCCCATAGAAACAAGTCATGTCCTTGCAGGTCAGGGAGATCTATGAGAAGATCACCGGCAAGGCCTCGGTTTGGGCGTTTTTTCTTCTGGCCGACGGGGCTCGGACGCACGGACACCCTGACATACATAAGTGTCCTTTTGGTGGTTTTGGTCGAAAAAGGGATGGAATTCCTGGTCTAGGTCCCCCAGTAGTGCACTTTTACCCTTTTTTGGGGGAGGGTTCCCCATCCGTAGCCATTTTGGCCAATGATGCCCGTGTAACAAGCATGGACATCATTGAGGATGAAACTGGACCGCTCCCAACAGCGTCGAACAGACACCTTCAATCTGCGATCCGGCCGGATGTGCAAAGAGAGGTGCTCAAGGAGCTGCAGGAAGGAGATGCAAAGCTTGATAGCTCTATGCGGGCCACGGTGGATGCGAGGGCGAAACTGTCGCACAAGGCGATCCAGAGACTGTGGCTGTGCGAGCCTAGCGACTACCCTGAGCTCTGGGTGCCCAATCTTGGTGATGAAGGCTAGCGGAAGGGATTGGAGCCGAAGCCCTTTTTGAGCGAAACCAAAAGAACAAGTGGTCCCTGTTGTGGAGAAACTCCCATAGGGCTGGAAGACATTTTGCTTGTGACTTTGGAGTATCAAAGCGAAGATCATTGCAGGCATGATTGTTTCATGCAGATGTAGTTTGGTTGAATAAACCCAGAAAAACACAAAAAGCAGGGGTATGCTGAGAAGGGCTGTTAGCCATTTCTTAGACTAAGCTCATTCTGATTCGGGCATATCACATACCCAACCAATAGGTAGACTTAGATCACATATTTGGCGATTTCCCAATGGGCAAGCCATGGGAAAGCCATGCACGAACTGATTACTCACTTTACTTGTTGGTTGGAAGTCGTTTTGGCTAGCTCGGGGACGGGAGCGTTGCTACAGCAAAATAGGTGCCCTTATTCTAACCTCTGTACTGGAGGACCCATAGGTGATGCACATTGGGAAACGGGTTGTCGCACAATTCGGTCAGTGGCGGGGTAACTTTTGGGTTTGCTGAAGCTCTCTTGGAGAGGGAACTGATAACTGACCATCTGGGCTGACCCCATTGTCAACAGCCTCGAATGTAAACATCGAGCTTCTCGCTGGCAAAAGCTGAGGTTCTTTCAAGCAAGCAACCTTCGGACCGGATCTCCTCGCCTATCTCCAGCCGAGCTCTCACTGCTGGCTCCTTGTTTCTTTTGGTCAAGACCTCCCATGGATGGTGTTCCTCTCGGTTCCCTTTAAAGGGGTACGTTCCAAAAAAGCCAGACCCACATCACCGGACCAAACACAAAGGCGGTGCTTTTGTTTCCCTCTGGAGGTCTGAAACTTGGGCACATCCTTCGGCGAAAATTTTGGTGCTTGGTTTCCACAGGATGGCCAGGTCTCATGCTAGGTCCCCCAGCAGTGCCCTTTCACCAACTTTTTTGGGGGAGGGTTCCCCTGCTACAATGGACGACAGAAAACTAGACCACGGTTGGCCCGAAAGCAGAACATCGCAAGCGAGGTCGGCCCAACGCTGCAGGATGCGTTCTTTTTCCCTACACTTCGTGAAGCAAGCGCGAGACAGCACCAGGCAAGGTGCTCTGCGCAAACTGGTCGGTGCAAGTTGGTCTGCGCAAGTTGCTCTACGCAAGTTGCACTGTGCAAGTTGCTCTGCGCAAGTTGCTCCGCGCAAGTTGCTCCGGCAAGTTGGTCCCTGCAAGTTGCTCTGTGCAAATTGCGCTCCCTGCAAGTTGCTCTGTGCAAGCTGCTCTGTGCAAGTTGCTCTGTGCAAGTTGCTCTGCGTAAGTTGCTCTGCGCAAGTTGCTCTAGGCAAGGCGCTCTGCGCAAACTGGTCGGTGCAAGTTGGTCTGCGCAAGTTGCTCTGTGCAACTTGCTCTGCGCAAGTTGCTCTGCGCAAGTTGCTGTAAAATGCAAGTTGCATCTTGCGACGCCCGCCCGCGGACCAGGGAGGAATCGAACCCGCGACCCGCCGGTTCCGGGAGCAGGCGCGCGAACCACGAGACAACTCCCGAGGACCAGTTCGAACAACAAAAGTCGCAACAAACTTTGAATTTTTGCACCTCGACCACGCCGATTCCCGCAGAGGGTTGCGCGAGCACCGCAGAAATCGCAAAAAACCATGGGTTTTTGCACCTCGACCACGCCGATCCCCGCAGAGGGTCGCGCGAGCAGGTTAGAAATCGCAAAAAACCATGGGTTTTTGCACCTCGACCACGCCGATCCCCGCAGAGGGTCGCGCGAGCAGGTTAGAAATCGCAAAAAACCATGGTTTTTGCACCTCGACCACGCCGATCCCCGCAGAGGGTCGCGCGAGCAGGTTAGAAATCGCAAAAAACCATGGGTTTTTGCACCTCGACCACGCCGATCCCCGCAGAGGGTCGCGCGAGCAGGTTAGAAATCGCAAAAAACCATGGGTTTTTGCACCTCGACCACGCCGATCCCCGCAGAGGGTCGATTTTCGTGTAGTGTCGTCGGCACTACCCCGCCGCCCTAAGAAGAGATTT